ACACTGAGCCCTCACATCCATCATCTGTGGAAGTTGTATGTGTTAACGACTCCCATGTTAAAATCACATAAACATAGACATAGGCGCTCATACTCTATCCCTCATGTGGTGGATGGAGAGGAGCCAACACAGACCCGGCCTCAAAGCTAGGCTCTGCCCGCTGACCCTGGACGCGTTTCTTCTCCTGTCAGTCTCCCTGGCAGCTCTTTCTCGCATGCTGCCCTGAGGACCAGAGAAGACTGGTGCCACAGTGCCCTGCTAACGCCAGAGCAAGCGCTTGTAAAACACCGGTACCTTTCCCTCCTCTCTCCTTCCTTAGTGAGAAGGAGGGCAGCGACTTGAATGCCCTAGGCCGCCCTCTGGGCCCTCTCCTGTCTGGGTTGCAGCTCACTTTTCGGGTCTTGGCAGTAACACTGGCGTCAGGACTGTCACCGGATGGCCTGTTTTTCAGTAGGCTACCCCCATACAACCGAGTGGACACGAGTTTTCAAAAATATTTATTTGCTTATCTGCAAGGCAGGAGGGGAGGGAACAAAGTGATCGAGGACAAAATCAATTACTATTTTTCATCTTTGACAAAGTAATTAAGGCCGTAGTGACTGGCTAATTCAGACCGAATGGCTGCGCGGTGATGGATGTGGATTTACGGCCTCCTTGGCTGCGGCGCACTGGGCCAGATTATCACTACAAACAGGCGTCCGCGGAGGGCGGGGGCGGAGGCCCGCGTCTAGAGGACGTGCGGCTGGCCTTTTTTTTTTTTTTTTTTTTTTTTTTTTAATACTGCAGTTCCATCCTCTGCGCTTCGTAGGCGCTGACACACACCCATACGCACGACCTGCTGCCCCAGGGCCTCGCTTCCTGCCTCAGCACGCTCTCTCCCGCCCCTGAACCCCAACCTTCAAGCCGGGCTTGTACCCGCCCCTCCGCCCCCGCTTTGGCCTCATAGCGACACCTCCAGGCCTCTCCGCTCCAGACCCTCCCTCCGTTCTCCACGCAGCCCCTCCCTTCTAGAATTTTGCGGCTGAAAGTGGGGGGAGGCCTAGAGCCCTAATAGCACCTCTGCCAAACCCCGTAGCAGTTCCTGCGCGTCACCCGCCTCTGCAGAGCCTGACGCGCGGCAGGCCCCACGCAGGAACCCAAGTGTTTACTGGGCCGGGGAGGGCCAGCGGGCGAAACGTCAGGCCTGGGGGCCAAAGGGCGGCGCTGGGCGTCACTCAGGCCCAGGGCCGCAGCTGGGGGAAGTGAGAAGGCCGGCAGGATTCTGCCGCCTCTGCGCAGTTCTCCCCCTTCCTCCCGGGGCAGCCAAGTCTGTGCGCCCTGGAACGTCCGGGCGCCGCGTGGACGCTCCATTCTCACCTGGCCCTTTGCGGGGACTGCTCAAATGCAAATTGGGAAACTGGCCAGAACCTTCCAAAGTCGTGACTGTCCCTCGGGGAAGTCGGCCGGGGAACTGCAGAGGGAGGCCTACACCGATCTTTGGGCCCGCCTCTTGGTACCGCTCTGGCCGATCGCTCTCTGAGCCCGAGCCTGCCTGCCAGGCCTGCCTTTACAATTCTCGCATTCATTTGTCTTGAGCCCTCTCGGAAACTGGGGACTGTTTAGGCAGAAACACCCTTAGGTTCTCTTGGCCTTCCCCAAGATGCCAAGAGCCTGCGGGCTGCTTCTCAGCGCCAGCTGGAACTTGAGCAGGCACCCCTGCGGAATTCTCAGTCCCACCCACTCAGAAGACCCTCCTCCAGCCAGAGTCCACCACAGCCCACCCCACCTCACCCTCTTAACCCTAATTCCCGACCTCGCCCTACGAGCTGGCCCCGGGGAGAGCGCGACTGACCCGAGACAGCCCCGCGGGAGGTGGTTGGGATCTTCTCCAGGATTCAAAAACGACTTTCTGAGCCCCAATTTCCTCAGCTTTGCAATTGTATAGTTTCTGAAAGGCCATTGCCAAATCTAACCGGGATAATTCATGGATAGCCCTTGCACAATGGTTGAGTATTGAGATCTCAATAGACGTTAGCTCAAAACTGCAATAAAAAGCGACCTGAAATCCTCAAGGCGTCTCAAAAGAAAGATCTCCTACTCCTGCCCCCACCAAAAGCAATGCAGACCGTGTGTCCCCAGCCAGTTGCCCTTTAGAGGGGCTAGGCGGGAGAGCCAACCAGCGGAGGCATCCAAATACTCTCGGGCTCTCCAGAGGGACAGGAGGGCGCCCCTCAGTGCCCCCGGCGCCCGCCGCAATCTGCCACTGCAGCCTACGCCTGCGGCCGCCGCCGCCCCGGCATTGCCCTCCTGCCGCGCGGGGACGGCCCAGCCGCTTGCGACGGCGCGCACCCTGAGGCAGTGGGCTGGGCTGTTGGCAGTAGGGAAAGGAAAACGTGCTGTCTGTGGCTCCTCATCCCCGAGGCCAGGGGTTCCCCAAGCTAGACCGGCAAGTAAGGAGAGGACGGAAGCATTTTGCTGATAATCCCCTTCTAGTCTCCAAACTACACTTTCTTTGTAAAGGCATTTTCTCCTCTCCTGATTATAGCTATTGCATTGTACCAACAAGAAAGTCCATCTTTTTATCGCCACTGCCACCCCCAATCCCATCCCCGCCACAGTATTGTTGAACTTCCTGGTACGGCTCCCCCCGCCCCCCCCGCACACCCCTCCCCCCCGCCCATTGCTGGGCGTCTCGATTTGGACGGTCTCTAAGGTCTCACGCTGCCAAATCAGGCCTGGCTCTGGTAGGATTTTATTGAAAGGACTACAGAGAAAGAATGGGTTTCCCTTGACTTTGAAAGTGACCTAAGAACTAGGTCTGTGTTGGAAAATCTTCATTTTCATTTCTCTAAAACGTCTTCAAAAGAGCTTAAAAATGCAATGAGAACGGTCAGTTATACTCAGAATTTTCTCCTCATTGTGTTAACAGAAATAGGAACGGAAATACTAGATCCCAATTTTTAAGCAAAAAACCCAGGATTCGTCCAAGACTGACTGTCCGGAAGGGTAGGGATGTGAGAATCTAAAGTCCACACACATGCTAGGTAGGTACACCTTGATAAATGCAGGACCCATGCCTGCTGCAGCCATCGCAGAGCTGTGGGGCTATGCGCAGACCCTCAGTCTCTTTCGGAGTAATATTTTCGGCATCCCTGAAGATTGGGGGAGAGAGCAATGGAATATAGTGAAAGGGAAAGAGAAGACAGTGGTTTAGCTCCCTCCCCCTACCTCTACATCCCGATCCACTCTGCTGGCGACTGCGCCTTGCCTTGGGTGCAGTGGGACGTGTCCCTCCCATGTTTCCCTTAATTAGGAGGAGTCAAACTTCTGTCTTCCCCTCCTGCCGGTTTCGGTTTAGTAATCAGACCCACATGAGTCACGCCAAACACGCAGCCCCCTCCCGCTGGAGCGACAACTGGCCAGCATACTCTAGGCTGTTGTCCCTTTAAAACTTGAATCCAAGGGGGTAATGATTTATCAAACTTGTATTATCAAGAAAATGTCAAACCAAGGGCACCTTGCTTTGCACTGACGCAAACCCGGCCTTTCCCAAGGAGATATAGAAAGCGCCTCTCCTGTCGGAGCCAAACCCAGTCTTGTCAATAGCGGGTTTCACCCTCCACCAGTTCAATCTGTTGCCTGTGTCAGACATGGTGAGTGTTTGCTTTTGTTCTTTCAAGAGGAAAAGGGGCTGAGGGGATAGGAAAAGCAGATTGGTTTTGGCTATTTCTTTTGGAGATGTCTGTGCATTGGGTGGGGGAAAAGGGGGCGAGGAGGAGAACAATTCTCACAGCCCTAGGTATTTGTACTTGTGAGCGTCACCTGAGGTCGCAAAGAGATTTCCTAGGTTGTAGAGCTGAGAGGTTGACTGTGGCTCCTAAAGACCCGATCCCGGGCACTGTCCTCGGTGCTGAAAAGCCAGACGCCGGTACAGAGGCGTGTTGCTCTGGGTCCTAGAGGCTACTGAGACAAATGCTGGCTGAAGCCGAGGTATTCAGATTTGTGGAAATTGAGGAGTTCTATTTTGCGTGCTTGTGAAAGGGGGTTAGACTAGAAGAGTGCAGTGGAGGTGAAGATAATAGGATTATTACAGTGTAATAATAATTATTGGTGCTAATGTTTAGGAAGCCCTGAAAGATAACACGAGGGGAGAAAGTGGCTAGGAAAACCACCGCTGGCAGCTATTTTCATTTGAAAGTGAATTGGGAAAAAGAGAATAAAAATTAGCCATGAGTTTTGGTACTCAAGCCAGCGTAGGGTTGTGAAGGATATTAGACTCCTGTGAATAGTTACGCAAAAACAAATAAACAAACAAAAGAACCAAAAAACTTTGCATATTATTTTACATATCTGGGAATCTGGAAGTGAATACAAGTTGTGTAAGATAACAAACCTAGTTACTACTCTGTGTCTTAAATTTATTATCGTTGTAGGATTTTTTGTGGTTATTTTGATCGTGATTCTTAACATTTCTTTGCTACCTGGCGGGCGGAGGTGGGTTGTGGAGCGCTGGGACTCAACCAATTTGGCCTCAAGCACTCGCAGGTGCCAGGGCATCAGCTTTGTGGCCACAGCTTGTCTATGGGGGAAAAAGGCAATGTGCATTGTTGAATGACAAAGGAAATGGGGCGGAAAATTAAAGAATCTTTCTACAATGGTGATGGGGATGCGGGCACCCACAGCTGTGATGTGAAATCCAAAGAGGGAGGAGAGCTCATGACTCTAGGGCTATTTCCACTCCCCCTTTCCCCTTACAAAATTCCATTTCTGCCTCTTTTCTTAGTTCATCCTCCACTAGGGAGGAAATATTAGCTTCTTTGTCATCTGGTTATTGATGAAGCGGGCAAATTGAGAAATACTGATTGCAGTCTTTCTTAACAGAAAAAATTCAGATTCCAATTTGCTTCCCCAGATATTGTGTCTGGACCTGAGTTGCGAACGTCTCCATATGTAGATACAGGTATTTTTAATGCTGTTGTGACTTTGTTTTGCACGAACTTGACATTGTGTTTGCAGGATTGCAGTGCTCCCAAGGAAATGAATAAACAGCCAGCCAACAGCCCGGAGGCGGCGGCGGCGCAGGGCCACCTGGATGGCCCATGTGCTCCCAGGACGAGCCCGGAGCAGGAGCTTCCCGCGGCTGCTGCCCCGCCGCCGCCACGTGTGCCCAGGTCCACTTCCACCGGCGCCCAAACTTTCCAGTCAGCGGACGCGCGAGCCTGCGAGGCTGAGCGGCCAGGAGTGGGGTCTTGCAAACTCAGTAGCCCGCGGGCGCAGGCGGCCTCGGCAGCTCTGCGGGACTTGAGAGAGGCGCAAGGCGCGCAGGCCGTCCCCTCTCCTGGGAGCTCCGGGCCCAGCAACGCGCTGCACTGTAAGATCCATGCTCTGCGAGGCCCGGAGGGGGATGCGAACGTGAGTGTGGGCAAGGGCACCCTGGAGCGGAACAATACCCCTGCCGTGGGCTGGGTGAACATGAGCCAGAGCACCGTGGTGCTGGGCACGGATGGAATCACGTCCGTGCTCCCGGGCAGCGTGGCCACCGTTGCCACCCAGGTAAGCGGTTGCATTCGGCCCGCACAGTGTCCTGCTCTCCAGCTGCGCGAGAGAGGCCAGCCGGGCCGTGGCGGGTGCACGTGTGCTGATGGGGAAACCGGTTGGCAGTGCCAGGTGATGGATGCGGGAGGCGGCTTTGGGGCTTCGGAAGCTCGCACTGCGCTGGGGTCGGCAGTTCAGGGCGCGAGGGCTGCAGTGACCCTGCCAGAGGGGCCACGACCTGCCCCTTCCCAGCCTTGGCTGTAGTGGGAATCCAGGTCCGGATTCACAAAGCAGTTGAGGCAGATAGATCCCACCCTTTTATGCAGACAGACTCCCTCTCCTGCCAATGACTGTCTTTTCTTTTCAAAAGTAATTTCTTAATTAAACAAAAAGAGGGAGAAAATTCAGAACAAAGCCAGGTGGTCGTGGCTGGGGGTGGAGGGGTAGGAGGATAATAGTTTAAGTTTTGTAGCCTTTACACTGCCAGTAATGCTTATTACATGAGAACTCATTTGATGCCAGGTGGGTTTACCTGAGGCTACTGAAGCTTAAGCTTTGGGGCCTGTCCTTTGTCTGGGTCCTTCCAAAACCTGGTGTCTACTTTTGCCAAAATTTTCTATTTTTTTCCCTAAAGTAACCTCCTTCAATTGTATAAGCTTCAGGCTCCACTAATCTGAATCCCCTCTTGCATTTGATCCTTTACCACTTAATTAGAGGCGTGAAAAACCCACAGAGCAAATCCCAATCCTTGGGTTATGAATAAAGGCAACTTTTGCTGGTGGCCCGCTGTCTCATACAGGCTTTTGTTCTCTTCCATTTCCCTCTGTCTCTCTCCTTCCTTCTCTGATCTCTTCTTTCTTCTGTCCTTTTTCATCCACTTCAGCTCTTCCCTTCTCACTGCCTGCCTTTCTGCTATCTCCTCTCCTTTCCTGGCCTCAGGGACTAGGCATATATCCAGCAGTGGGGCCTGGACCAAAATTTATGCCTGTGTGAGGTTTAGGATTTATACAGCCCTTCTGTCTTTAGTTACTCTAGTGTTTGCACACACACACACACTCACACTTATCCACAGGCCCACATAGCAGGAGCTTGTGGTGTCAGAACGAGAAATAAACAGAATTTCCCACTTGCCTTTCCTTTTGGGGTCCACATCAGGGTTTTTCTATGTGTATTATCTGCCTCTGACAGCATGTATCCCACAGTGTGACCCCAGGTGGAGCAGAATATTTGTTTCACTTGTCTTGCTTAACCTCCGCACTGCGGCAGAAGGAGCTGGAACTCCCACCCTTTGCAGCTCTGGAAGGATTGAAGGGTGGGATTAGGCGTGGAGGTGGTCTGTGTGTGGGAGGATGAGAGGGAGGATGTTAAAGATGTTTGGTTTCTGAAAGAACTTATTTTCGGCCCTGCCCATCTTTCTGATTGTGCCTTTCTGACACTCACCCTGGCTCTTTCTCCCTCCCCAAGACTTCTCCTGACAGCTGCTGCTGTGTCCTCCACAGCCTGTAGAAAAGTACGAGACCTAGCAAGTTACTACAATAGGAGGTGAAGGGTGACTGAGGAGGTGGAAACTGTGCAGTGGCCTGAGTCCCTGGAAAGCTTTGTGCAGTGTCTAGGTGTCCCGAACATTTTCAGAGTTTATTTGGGGTGGTCTCCCCCCCATTTTTCCTGAGTAGTAGTGAGGCATTCCACGACCAGGCACTGCCCCAAGAAAGCATCTTAGTGTGAGCTTGAAGAAATGAGTCTCAAAGATTCATAGACTGCTGGAGCTGGCAAGGGCTTCAGGGGACAGTTATTCTAAGCTTCTTTTATAGATGAGACATGGAGGTTCAGAGAGGGCAAGTGGCTTGCCTGGGGTTGTCCACCTGGTTAGTAGTAAAATTTAGACCAGAACTCAAGGTTGTAGATGGCTTGTGTCTTCCCATATCAATCTTTTTTTGTTTGTTTGTTTTCCCTCTTGTTTCATCTTCAAATCTGCCTCCTGCCCATCTCCCTTGCATTAGTCTTGAAGGATGCCTTCTTAAATTAGTTGACCAGGCAGGTTCTGTTTGGTCAAGAAAGTAAGGCAGGGGCTCCGGCTGGCTTCGGCATTGCAGCTCTCTTTCTGGTCTTGTCACACACTCTAAAGGAAGAAAGGGCTGAGGAGGGGGTGTGGTGAAGGCTTTTTTGTGGGAGAGGATTAATTAGGAACCTGCTTGCTGGTAACTCCAGGCATGATGCTTGCCAAATAAATTCTTGGTGAAGGGTTGGGGATGGAGGGACCTGCTTGCAATCACCTTACAGGTTCAAGGTTTGGGGAGAGCTGCTTGCTGGTGTGCCCTGACTGTATGATCTGGGAAAGAGGGGGTTTTGGGTCTGTTTAAGATGGATCTTCAGATCAGAATTGGGGACCTGCTTGCTGATTGACTCTCAGTGCAGGGTTGAGGGGTGAGGTCCCTGCTTGTAGATGCATCCTTTCTTTACATTTGGGGTCCTGCTTGCCGATGCATCCTCAGTTGAAAAGTGGGAGCCTGCTTGCTGGGGAGGACCCCTAGCCGGGGGGAGGGGCGGAAGGGGCCTGCTTGTGGACCTACTCGGGGCTGTTATCGACAATGTGCTTTTCCGCCCCCAGGAGGACGAGCAAGGGGATGAGAATAAGGCCCGAGGGAACTGGTCCAGCAAACTGGACTTCATCCTGTCCATGGTGGGGTACGCAGTGGGGCTGGGCAATGTCTGGAGGTTTCCCTACCTGGCCTTCCAGAACGGGGGAGGTATGGCTTTTCCGCTCTTTCCGCCTGCTGCGGGGCGGGGCGGGCACCTGAGGGTTGGGTGGGACAGGAGCCCTCAGGCAGGGTCGCAGGGCGGGGAGGCTCAGAGCAGCCTCCGCAGGCTCCAGCCCTACACCTCGTAGGCGTGAGTGCATAACCTGAGGGCGGGGACGGCCATAATCGTTTGGCATTAGATCCCAGAGTCTCTTTTCTAGAGAGGGGCGCAGGGGAGGAGTGAGGCCCCACAAACCCCCACTGACCCAGTTTTGGGGCCTGGGTCCAGAGCCACGTAAGCACGGGTGCTAGCGGTCAAGTGTTCAGAGAGCGGCGGCACTTCGGGCACCCAACAAGGTTACAGCCAGCAGCTGTACAGTTCTGGAGCCCTGATTCAGGGTTATATCCTGCCTTCCTAGGGCACTCCTTAGGCGAGCTAGGAGGTGAGGGGCAAGGGGTGGGGGATGTGCTGTCAAAAACCTCTCAGAAGTGCCCGCCACCTCCGCCTTCTTGTTCTGCTTCTTGAAGCAGAACATATTTTGATTTTAGTAAAAATCGTACAGCGAAAACAGGTTTCTTCCATCAGCCCTAAATGGGAGGAAGGTGCTGGTTTTGAAGGAAAGCCGTTTCAGAGATGGGGAGGACACTAGTTAGGCTTGCATCGGCTGCTGGGCCACTGTGCTCCCTTGTACCTCTTCTGTACCCACCGAGGAGGGACCTGGCACATTCACGATCCCTCTGGCCCTCCCGACGTTTAGGTGCCGCGGGGCCGGCCGCTCTCTAGCAATAGGAATTTGAACCTAGAGCCCCTCCCACATCTTCTCAACTGGACGGAAGGGACAAACAATGCATTCCTTCAGCCCATAGGTCAGGCAGTTTGAGGGTTTTTGTTCTTTTGTTTTGCCTCTTGGGTCCGCTTCAGGCGGAATTTGGTGCAGCGGAACGGACAGGGGCTGCATCACCGGACGGCTAAAGCGCAAAACATAGGCCACTACTCCCCTCCTCTCCAGTTCCAAATTAGGACACTCTGACAAGTACTTATGAGAACCGCAGAGCATTTGCCATCTGGGGTGCCCTGAAAACAGACCAGGTACCGGCCACACGAATAGAGGCACCCAGATAGGTTCCCGTTTGGTTTTCCACAGGGCGCCCTCAGGCCAGGATGCTACAACAAGGCTTCCAGTGAATAGAAGGGAAGTGGGTACTCAGGGTAGAGGATGGGGAGGGAGTTCCAGCAAAAGGAGGTTGGCCCGCGCAAGTGCCCGCGCTCTGCTCGCCCGGGATCTGCGAAGAGCGGCGGAGCAGATCTCAGCGCTCCCGAGGAGCCAGGCGCTGCAATGGGAGGCAGCCTGTTCCGCACTGCGGCTCGGGGCCCCGCAGCCCTCAGCGTGGGGTGGAGGGCTCGCCGCTCCTTTTCAGGAGCAGGGGAGGACTGCACAATCCCTGTCTTGAGAGGATAAAGCAGGACCCCGGTTTTACTGCCCAGCAGCCCGTGGCTGCTCCTGGGCCTTCCTGGCTTGGAAAGCCCCGGGCAGGAAAGGCCCTGCCATCAAACAGGAAGTGCGGAGGGGCGGGAGCATGAAGAGTGGACTAGAGAAAGATCAGCTTTCCCTCCGCTAAGGCCACTGTTCTGCGCTCGCGCATCTCCAGTACCCTGGCCCTTGACTCTGGCCCATGCAGCAGCACGTTCCTGTCAAAACGTTTTCAAAACTCATGACCATTCCCCAAGTCCCTCCCAAACAACCTCAAAGAACGTTGAAGGGAAAGAACCCTACAGAAGTCTCAGCGACTTTATGGAGGCCTGCCAGACACTATTGCCCTAGACGGGGCATTTTGAGGAGTAAAGAGATGAAGCGCAAACAACATTAGGGGCTCACAGGCTGAATAAGACACTTACATAAAAATTAATAAGTGATTGGTGCCTGGAGCAAGGTACTGTGGGAGGACACAGATGGGAGACTTCTTGGAAGAGGAAGCATTTGAGTTGACCTTGAAGGATGGAAGGAACTTCTCATATGGAGAAGGGCGTTGAGAAGTGTGTGATGCGGATGGGGATGGGTTTAGAAAGAAGGATGGGTATCCCCCAATGGCTTTCTGGCAGAGCCTGTCCAGCCCTGGTTGGTAGAAGCTGTTCAGGTAACTTACTGTAGAGGAGGGCTCCTGGAGTTTAGCTTAGAAGCTTTTAGGTCCTGGGAGGGCTGAGGCTCCGATAAGATTTCACCAATCTGAATCCAGTAGTGAGTCAAAGGCATGGACTGGCTGAGCTCTGCAGGGGCTTAATTTTGGGAAATTGAAGTGCTATAATAAAAAAAGAAAAGAATAAAACCCCATCAGCACATATCCCTAGCCATCTGCCAGTGGAGAATTGAAATAAGGAGTGTATTTGCACGGGTACCCTTATACTTTTTGGAGGAGGGCTCTTAAATATCTGTGGGTGACTGTTGCTGAGACAGGACATCAAAGGGCTTCTTCAGGAATGGAGCTAAATTGTCCTTTAGTTCTTTGAGAGGGAGCCCAGCCCCCAACCTGGAAGGTGAAGGAGGGCAGCAGCCTGCTTTTGCCTCCCAGGGCTCTCACTCCCCACTCTCTTTCCAAGGTGCTTTCCTCATCCCTTACCTGATGATGCTGGCTCTGGCTGGATTACCCATCTTCTTCTTGGAGGTGTCGCTGGGCCAGTTTGCCAGCCAGGGGCCAGTGTCTGTGTGGAAGGCCATCCCAGCTCTACAAGGTGAGTCCAGCCTGCCTCCCAGCCTCCTCGGGCCCTTTCTGACTCTGTCCCCTCTGGCACCATGCAGCCCCAGGGAGAGAGACTTGCCTTTGTGGTTAATAGAACTAACTCTTTCCATCCTTTATTTCGTCCTTCTGAATAATGGCCCAAGATCACCTCTGGCATTGTTGAGTTCCCAGCAGAGTGCCTTCATATCCCTGGTAGACATACAGTCCACTCTGCTATTAGTGCATCCCTTCTGTACAAGAGAGCCCAGACCTAGGTCCCGACCCTATGCCCAACTCTAAGAATTCTACAGCATTTAAGAAGGAATGAACCCCTGGAATTTTTGCTTCTGCAGGCTGTGGCATTGCGATGCTGATCATCTCTGTCCTAATAGCCATATACTACAATGTGATTATTTGCTATACACTTTTCTACCTGTTTGCCTCCTTTGTGTCTGTACTACCCTGGGGCTCCTGCAACAACCCTTGGAATACGCCAGAATGCAAAGATAAAACCAAACTTTTATTAGGTAAGTTTGGAAATATCTGCTTTAGGTGTGTGTATTCTGAACTATCCATTTATTCAACAAAATAACTGAACATATATTATGCATGCTAGGACCTACACTATGTTCTGGGAGCACAGAGATTACATCGAGCTATCAAATATACTTAATTCTAACATTTAAGGAGTTCCTGGCCCAGAGAAGGGCGTAATCAAATTTTTGTTTGCTCACGAATAGCTGGAATCTTTGTTAAAAATGCAGGTTCACAGGCCCACGAGATAGTCTGATTTATAGATTTGGTTGGGTTCAGAAAATTTGCATTTAAACAAGTCCTTGTAGAATCTTATTTTGTTTTGTAGTGTTTCTTAGACTAGCAGCATTACCTGGATGGTGGTTAGAAGCCCCCCTCTAGCCTTTCTGAATAAGACTTGCATTTTAACTAGGTTCCCAAGTGACTTATCTGCATGGTACAATTTGAAAAGTGATGGTCTAATTCCTAGAGTCCAGGTGAGCGATCCTGGGGCCAGACTTCACAAGATACTGCTCAGTGCATGGGGTGAATATGAGAGTGAACCCTTAGACCACTCTGATAAAAATGTAGTGTCTAGAAGAGGGCAAGCTACTGGGGAGTTAGGGAGTGTTCCTGGAAAATGTTTCAGATGTGAAATAGATTGGGCCTTGAGGCCTTGGGGAAAAGGGTCAGCTTCTTGGGTCAAGGGCAAGAGAGTGAATATGAGGAGAAGTAGGGCAGCTATGTCAGGAAGTCTTTCTGGTCTATATCTCTGTCACTGACTATGTATGTCTGGGTCAGGTAGCTTCTTTCTGGATCTGTTTTCCTTCTCTGAAAAATAGAAATAAAAATGTTCTTCCACTACCTACCTTATGGGGATTGCTATAAGGAGAAAAGAAATGAGGGGTGTGATACAGTTGCAGAAGTATACAACTCTACAGATAAAAGGTGCTAGTAGTAGTCACTTTGGAAGCTCTGGTCATTTAAAAGGGGACCTAGAAACAAGTAGTTTCTTCTTTCCCCAGTAGATCTGTTAATTCTCCTCAGCTAGGTCTGTGCCAAGACCAGCTTTCTGTGATCTCTGTATGATTGGCTCTTAGTGTTGCCCTCCAAAACCAGCTTTTTTCATGATGGAAAGCACATTATTTAACCCTTCAAGTATATTAAGGGCAAAAAGATGAATCCTTCCCTCTTGCAGACCCAGAGAGATGCCATTCTTTTCTTCATTTTCTGCCATGAACATGTGTTTATTTTATAGTCTCTCTCGCTCTCTCTCTCTGTGTGTGTGTGTGTGTGTGTGTGTGTGTGTGTGTGTGTGTGTTTAAAGCAGGCTGAGCATGTTGACTGGATCAGGCACATGGATGGAGGCCCAAGAGGCACAGAAGCCCCTGCCCCTGGCTTCCAGTTTGGCTCACCATCACCTGGGAGACATGAAAGGCAGAGCAAAGACATGACACAGCTCAGCTCCTACTCAACTGGTACAAAACCATTAAAACTATCCTAGCTCTGAGCGCAAGGAGACAATGCACATTTTTCACTCTGATTGTTTCCTGCGAGTATATGACCAGGCTGAGCAGATCCTATCTCATTCTTACTCAGTGTTTTAATTTTTTTTTTTTTTTTTTTTTTGGTGGAAAGAAAAACAAGGTGTCAGTCCGCACTCTTTCTTTGTGCAGCCCCTCCATCTGTCGTTCTCTGTGTTATCAGCACATGAGTGTGTTCTGTTCCTCAGGCCAGGCTATCCCTTCCTTGCAGGGGTATCGGTCCTTTGGAATTCGGGGGTGACTTAGAAAAGGTGATAGTGGCCTGATTTGCAGAGCCCCACGCTCTGCTGTACAAATCAGGAGTCTAGACAACGGATATTCCCAGGCTGTTTCGCAAATGGTCATATTGAGCAAGGCTTCCTTAAGAGATGGACAAACTCTTTCCCCCAGCATTTCCCATCAGTTGCCTTCCAGTTTCACCTGCTCTCTCGCAACCCCACAACTACCCACACCCTGTGACTGCTGGGCAAAAGGACTCACCCCAGGAGAAAGGGACTGAATGACTAGCTATTGTGACCTTCATGTGCAGCGCGGAGCTGCCCCATGACGCTCTCAGTGCTGCAAGGGACACATTCCATGGAGATACCAGGCAACCATACCCACTCCCGCCCCAGAGGAAAGCCCTGGATATGTGCGTGGGGAGAGGCAGCGTTTGTCACGTCTTTCTCCAATGCAGGTTGTAGGAGAGGCTGCCGTCTTTAGGGTGACTCAACTCTCCAAGTATCTGTAATGGAGAATGACTAATCTGTGCCCTGTCAAGTGAGACCAGCGGCTTTATGTGAAAATAGGAGCTAGCTGGGTCACGTAAAATAGGAACAACATAAATACCATTTCTATTTCCGGAATGGCTTCATTTTCATTAGAACTTTAATTAAATGATTCCTTTTCTCCCTGGTCTTTCATGTGCTTTCATTTATTAATAATTGCCCGAGTAAAGAGAATCCCATTCCACAGCTTCCAATTTAGCACGATCATTATCTCTGTTCTTTGTTCGGGGTTGCTGGGCCGCAGAGCTCTCTGATGAGATGGCCCATCATTCCTTCGCCGGTGGACCCGAAGGCGCCGGGCGCTGGGAAGTATGCTCCTGCCGCCCAGTGGTGGGAGGGGATATTGCAGGAGGCTTGAGACTGCGGAGCGAGCGAGTAGGGATCCTGGGAACCCTGCTGCATTGCTGCAGGAACGGTGACCTTGTGCTGCTGCGGCGGCAGTGATCTGCAGACATCCAGAGACGCTCTCTAGGGAGGCTGCCTGCGTGCTTCAACAATTGCAACTTGGGAAGCAAGAGATTTGGTGTTTGCCCTCGTGTTAGTGATCGCTCCAGTCTTGGGTGGATATAATGTTTGGCAGGAGGGCGAGAAATAACTTACGTGCTTATTTACAGAACAGAGATATGGAGGGTTCTTTAATTGTCTTCATTCATGTCATCGCTGGGGGAAACAAAAGCTTTCCTGGTAAATGATTAGGTGGGAATCTTCCTGGAACTGTTATTCGATTAGACTAAAGAAGATACTTTGAACAGGAAGATATTTTTAGGCCCTGAAGTGGAGATTCTCAACAAGGGGAGATTTTGCAGGGGACATCTGGCAATGTTCAGAGACATTCTTGGTTGTTGCAGCTGGATGGGCTCCTGGCATTTAGTAGGTGGAGGCCAGGGATTCTGCTAAATATCCTGCAATGCACAGGACGGTCCCAGAGCCAATAATTATTAAAGTTGTCCTTGCAGGGTTAACAAGAATTCTAGACAGAAGTATTGTGATAATTAGCATTAATCAGGCTGTGCTTTGACTCACTTCCTTGAAACCAAAAGTTGAGTAACACTACATACATTTGCATCCCCGTTGTTCCTATAGATAAGATTTCTGATGTTAGAATCATAAGGCTTTTGTTTAAGAATTGCTTAAGCAGATCCTGAATTCCAGCAAAACAGCTGATGCCAACCAGTTTAAAGACTCCTACCAGCTTTAAGCAGTGGTTCATGCTTGTAATCCCAGCACTTTGGGAAGCCAAGGTGGATGTATCACTTGAGGCCAGGAGTTTGAGACCAGTCTGGGCAACATGGCAAAACCCTGTCTCTACTAAAAACACAAGAATTAGCTGGGAGTGTTGGCGCACACCTGTAATCCCAGCTACTTTGGAGGCTGAGACATGAGAATCGCTTGAACCTTGGAGGTAGACATTGCAGTGAGCAGACATCATGCCACTGCACTCCAGCCTGGGTGACAACTGTCTCAAAAACCAAAAAACAAATGAAAAAAGATTCCCACAGAGGAACTGAATCAGTGTGAGAATACATTTCTTCATCTCTCTGTTCCATGACTTCACCCTGCACTCTTCAACCTACTCCAAAACCCTAGCCCCAAACTCTTTGGGGAGATGGATTTGAGGTTTCCTCTTATCTCCTCGTTCAGTGGCTCTTATGATTAAAGCTCTTTCTCTGCTGCAACCCAGGAAACTCTATTTGTTTCCTGCGAGTATATGATCAGGCTGAGAGATCCTATCTCATTTTTAGCCAGTGCTTTATTTTTTTATTTATTTTGGTGAAAAAAAAAAACAAGGTGTCAATCCCCAGTCTTTCTTTGTGCAGCCCCTCCATCTGTCATTCTCTGTGTTACCAGCACATGAGTGTGTTCTGTTCCTGGGACCAGGCTATCCCTTGCAGGGTATTGGTCCTTTGGAATTCTGGGGTGACTTAGAAAAGGTCCTCCTCTCTTAATTAAACCTCTTTCTCTGCTGCAATGCAGTGTCTTGGTGGTATATTGACTCACTGTGCCCATTGGGCAGTGGACCTATTGCGGTTACTTTACCTGACCCCAAATGCCATTAGCCCAGCTATTGAGAAACCTTGGTCTAAAGAACTACTGAAAGGGAAGGGATGCTTATTATTGTTTCCAATTTTTACCCAACATTCTAAGAAACTCTGCAGTGTGTATGGGAAGCGGTAGGCAATTTATGGCAGGCAAGTGGCCTTGTGGGAGATGATGTTGAAGACTAGAGATACTCTCTCCAGAAAAAGCTATGACAATGATGATTGAGTTATGGCTAAAATTTATTGAGTGCCAGCTGTGTGCCAGGCATCGTGGGAAGATTTTTCATTTGTGATCTCTCTTCATTTAGTCCTTACTGCAACCCTGAACAACAATGTCCAGAAAATGGAGGCTTGGATAAATGGAACTCATTCAAGCTCTCAGTAGTAGTGGAACGGCTTCTTGCCCGCTTTGCTCTTCCATACACAGCATAAATTGGGAATCAAGCCTGCTTCTTAAAATTATTTATTTATTTTAGAGAAAAGGTCTCATTCTGTTGCCCAGGCTGGAGTGCAGTGGTGCGATCACAGCTCACGGCAACCTTGAACTCCTGGGCTTAAGCAATCCTTCTCCCTCAGCCTCCTGGGTGGTTAGGACTATAGATGTGCAGTACTGCACCTGGCTAATTTTTAAAATGTTTTGTACAGACAGAGGTCTCGTTATGTTGCCTAGGCTGGTCTTGAAGTCTTGGGCTAAAGCCATCCTCCTGCCTTGGCTTCCCAAAGTGCTGGGATTATAGGTGTGAGCCACCCCGCCTGGCCACTTTTTGTTATTGTTGCTCATGGTATTTAAAGACAATTTTAACACATTCAGTATTTTTAAATGGGGAGATTTCATGTAAGTTTATAGATTTTTTTGCATCTTTTGCCGCAACATCTGGAAAAGCTTGGCACTGATTGGCTGGAGTGCTCTCTGGTTGGCTACAGTCCCCACCTCTCTCTATTATTTTCCAATTTTATGCCTTCCTTATTTGAGTCATCATCCTGGCTTCTGTAGGTGTTTGAATTTATAATCCCTGCTCCCTATTCACATTGGAGTGCCTAAGTCATTGACTCCAAAGCTTGTTTACATCCTGGCTTGATGTATGACCTTGGCCAGCCACTGCATCCTTCTGTGCCCCAGTTTTCCTTATCTGTAACATAGAGATAATAACAGTACCTTCTCACAGGGGGTGGTATGAGGCTTAAATTAGTCAATGCATGTAAAGTACTTAAAACAGTGCTGTAAACGTGGTAACTGCCATATGAGTGTAAGTTGTTGTTGTTATTGTTACTATGTGCTCCTTCGCAAAATAATGTCCTTTGGGATTAGTCCTGGTGGATTCTCTATTTAAGGTATTTGTCAGTTGATCTGTATTTTAAAATCTGTTAGAGAGGCATTGTAAAATGGTCAGAAAGACTTCAGATTCTTCCTGTTTACAATGACAATAATAATATATACCTCCTGGATTTTATGAGGATTTGATGAGATAATCATTAAAGTGTTCAACACAGAGCCTGACATACCAAGACTCACATGGTTAATTTCCTTTCTCCATCCCTGCCTAGATCAGGCCTTCTCAGCCTTGGTACTACTGATGTTTTGGACTAAATAATTCTTTTTTTTTTTTTTTTTAAGAGACAGGGTCTTGCTTCATCACCCAGGCTGGGAATGCAGTGGTGTGATCATTTCTCACTGCAGTGTTGCATTTCTGGGCTCAAGCAATCCTCCTGCCTCAGCTTCCCAAGTATTTAGGACTATGGGTGTGTGCCATCACGCCTGACTAAAGGACTGAATAATTTTTTGTTGTGGGGGGCTGTCCTGTGCACTATAGGATATTTAGTATTAGCATCCCTGGCCTCTACTTATTAGATACCAGTAAGCACCAGGTCCCCAAGGTGTGACAACTAAAAATGTCTCCAGACTTGCCAAATGTTTCCTGGGGAGAAAACTCATCCCTAGTTGAGCACCACACTGTTAGGTCCTGTCACAGGCTCCCCGGTAGATGGTGTGGTTGCTGCCTCTGCCTACCCATGTGAGAGTAGAAAGTACACAGCACGTGTATCCTAGAGTGCTTACTGAATGTGGTGCCAGGCAGTGGGTCCAAGGTGAACTTCTTCGAAAGCCTTCTGTAGCAGTACCCTTCAGGAGGTCTGTTTATTTTCCAATTAAATTCGTTTCAGCAATTTATTTGTTTTCTGCAGAGTCATAAGGATCTGGGTTCAAATCCTGATTCTCTTCCTCATAAGCTGTGTGGCTTCAGTAGAGTTACCTACCTCTTTAAGCCTGTTTCCTTGTTTTGAAAATGGAAGATTATAGTACCTCGTGCATAGGCTCTTGTGAGGATTAAATGAGATAATGCACACAAAATGCTTGCCCACCACATAGAGAGTGCTCTGTATACAAATGCCTTTGTCATCAATATGAGGTGCAGTTGTGGGGACTGGGGGCTCTGATGGAGAAAACATAATTCTTTGGTTCTTTTATTAATATATCTGGCTTTGCCCAGTTAATACTTTCCTGAAGTTACTCTCCAATATTTGGCAAATGTTTTTGGCATTTGTTTTTAAACTGCTGCAGAGAGATGCATCTCTGTTTTCTGTACAGATTTCACTGTGTTTCTATTCTGTCCTCTCCTAAACAGATTCCTGTGTTATCAGTGACCATCCCAAAATACAGATCAAGAACTCGACTTTCTGCATGACTGCCTATCCCAACTTGACAATGGTTAATTTCAGCAGCCAGGCCAATAAGACATTTGTCAGTGGAAGTGAAGAGTATTTCAAGTAAGTTGACTTTCTTTTTCTTTTTTTACCTTCTAAGAGAAACTCAATGAATTAATAAATATTCAATTTGCAGACCAGAGATGTGGGTGGCCCAAGGGATGAGACCAGAGAGGAAGGTTTTTTCCCTGGTTTGGCTTCCTAGAGCAGATTGTTGTGTCTAGTGAGCCTGGCAAGCAGAGCTGGATGAACGATGGCAGTAGGAGCAGAATCAGTGTGGCTATAATTCATGATGTTGATGAAAAGCCCATTGCAAAACCTTGATCCAGTGTGATCTAAGTGGACTGTCAGTTAACCAGATTAGTTTTTCTTCCATCTGCACTTGGCTTCAGGGAAGAGAAGCAAAAAGAAAACAAGTCATGTTCAAAGTTTTAGTTTAAATAAGAAGAAATTCATTTTTTTCCTTTTTTCAGAGCTTTGCCTTAGTTTTGTATTTTTCAACATCGGTTTTGCTAGACATTGGAGATTGAGGTTCAGGGATACTTGAAGATCCTTAGCTACTACTGGAAGATTTAGTGAAGTTCATAGAATTATTTTTTTATTTTCTTTCTTTTTTTTTTTTTTCTTCTGATATGGAGTCTCGCTCTGTCACCCAGGCTGGAGTGCAGTGGCGCGATCTCGGCTCACTGCAACCTCCGCCTCTGGGTTCAAGTGATTCTCATGCCTCAGCCTCCTGAGTAGCTGGGACTACAGGCACATGCCACCATGCCTGGCTAATTTTTTGTATTTTTAGTAGAAACGAGGTTTCACTGTGTTAGCCAGGATGGCCTCGATCTCCTGACCTTGTGATCTGCCCACCTTGGCCTCCCAAAGTGTTGGGATTACAGGCGTGAGCCACTGCACCCAGCCATGAAATTATATCTTAGGGGAGATAAATGTAGACAGAGTTCATCATAGGGTACGTAAAAAGTGTTCTCTAGCTAAACTTTCACTCAGAGGTTGTAAATTCAAATGCACTCAGGCATGGCAGAATTATAAATGAGTAAAGTGAAAATAAGTGAGATGATAGGGAGGGGTGGGGACTGTGGCAAACCAAAGAGGCTGCCTGTCACAGGTAAGGGAGGCCACTGGGGCTCAGCTCCTCTGATCACTGCCTTGTGAAATTGTGGGGCAGTGCTGCCAGAGCTTCTATTTTACAATCAAAGATGGAAATAAAATCTGGATTTTTATGTATCTCTCCTATTTTAAATGGCAGCAAAATAATTCAAATAGAACATGGGGATCAAATAAAATGCATTAATCAATGAGCTTCCAGTTTGTGGCTTTCACTTAGATGATAAGTGGTTGCTAATACCTCGACTCTTCTCCCAGTTGTCATTCATTCTTATTCCTGTTTTTTTTTTCCCCTGTAGACTCAGAGTGTACATGGTTGTTCCTTGCAGAACAAAAGGGAAAGTTACCTAATTGATTAAATAGTCCCCTTTGACCATAATTACCATGGTATTGGGGTGGGCCTTTAATTATCCCTGAGCACTGAGCAACTGCGTCTGAACTGGTATATGATGAAATCTGAAAAACTGCCAAAAGCAGATTTGCAAATCATTTGCCAGTACACCTAATCCATGCAGTCAGGTGTACTAGAAAGTGATTTGCAAGCCTGCTTTTGGTGGCCTTTACTAGTCCTTTGGGGCCAGTCTTTATTTCTAAGAAGAAATGTCATCAGGAGTTTCTTGGGACTTGTTTGAGGTCCTACAATTGAAGTGTGGAGCAGTTGAGATGGCTAAGTCGTGGAATTGTTGACTATGTGGTTTACCTATTTTGGGGATGGGACATGGGGAAGGTCCTTTTCCTCACTTGGCAAATATGGTCCTCAGGATTTTGCCTTGGAACCAAGTTTAGTTCCAGCCTTGGTCTGCCCTAGTCAACTCTGAGCCCAGGTTCTGCCAGGGTTTGGGCCTGAAAGAGGCTCTGTCTGCACAGAGTTGGCCATCCCTGTTATGAAAAACATGGCTGTGTGTTGCCAAAGAGCCTCTCAAGCTAGCCGGCTGGACCAGGAGTCGGGCTGCTGCCTATATTTCCCTCGGCAGGTCAGAACGTTCTGGGCCATCATTCCCACAGTCCTACGAGCCTGGATGCTGGCTTGCCTGTTCTTTAGGTCACAGAAAAATGTCAACCTACAAACACAGCAGTTTCACAGAGGATGTATGTCTAGATGGTAGTGGAGTAGAAGGAATTGTCTGAATCTGTTATCAGGCACTGTCCCTGAAGCTTCCTCCTGTCCTCAGGGGTGAGGCTGCCCTGCTAGCCATTTGGCCAGGCAGGCCATGATGTCTTCATTTTCTATACAAGTTGCCAGCAGCAGCTACAGCTGACCAGTGGCCTCTTCTGTCGGCAGCTGCTCATCTGTCTTAGAATGTTTTGCTTGAGCAAGGTCTAGGCAGCCCTGCTTTTATAATTAAGCCAACCTTAGCCTCAGGAAATGCCCAACACAACTTGAACTACAATCCAGGGCCACATTTTTAGTCATTTAGCATGTGCAGTTTCCACTATGTACTAATTTTTAAAATTTAAAACCACACAAATACTATCAGAATAAATTCTCATAAGAGAGTAGAGCAATAGAGAAAACACACAAAAATCACCCTCGACGGTTCAGAGTTTCTGTTGCACTCCTCCTGGGGATGTGCTAGTGAGAATGGAACTGACAGCCTTGTCCTGAAGCCTGCCCAGGGCCATGAGTGGCCTCCTAGCACATAATCAAGAGCAGGGTAAATCCAGCTGGAGTCTCTGCAGATGGCTGTGGGCAAGAGCCCAGACCAGCAAGTTCCCCACAGCCTGATGTGATTAAGTCTGCGATGGTGGGGCGGGTGGAGGATGCTGGGGTTTTGTGCAAGGCTCCTGGCTCTACTGGAGGCTTAAAGCCTGCTGCCTGTCACCTCCCTCTCTCCTCCTTTCTATCACTTCCCCCATCCCTCCCTCCAATTCTTAGGTACTTTGTGCTGAAGATTTCTGCAGGGATTGAATATCCTGGCGAGATCCGGTGGCCACTAGCTTTCTGCCTCTTCCTGGCTTGGGTCATTGTGTATGCATCCTTGGCTAAAGGAATCAAGACTTCAGGAAAAGTAAGCACTTGGATTTATCTAAGTAAGAGAAAGCTGTGGGACACCCAGGGGCGGTTGCTTTAGGGAGCAGGCAGAGCACTGGGAAGAGAGTCAGGAGCTGTGGATGCTGATTCTGACTCTGCCCTGGAGCAGCTAAGGGGCTGTGGGCAAGTGACTTCACTTTTATCTGCAAAATGGGGATAATAATACCTTTCTTGCAGGGCTGTTTTAAGGGTTAAATGAGACACATATATACAGAGCTCCCAAGGGATGGTGGGGGTACTCTGATTAGGATTTCCTTCCTTTCCTCTCAGGGGCGGCCACTCATTCAGCAGAAGGAACCTCCCTGATATCATTCAGTCACTTCCCCTAAACTCTAGAATTTGTGCTGCCGGCCTTTTGCCTCTTAGTCTGGCTGCCAAGTTAGTTATTGCTTCTGCCAAGAAGCTGGCTGAAGATCAAGACTGTGTAGTAGATTCCCTCTCCTCACTCCTGGCCACTATGTTCGTGGCCTTCCTTGCCTTTCTTTCAACCCTAAGCTTGACACTCTTCTACCCCACGTGCCCCTAGCACTAAAGAAAGATGGTCCTGCCCGTGGAATTTTGGCTGAGCAATTACTTGGTAAGGGTCACTTAGTGATCGCTTGGCTGGGCCCTTTGGAGATGACGAAACTCCCACCCAAGCTCAGTTCCAAGCCACAGAAAGAGAGGAGCCCATGGAACCTCAGGCCACACTGGGCATTGTTGTAGCATTCATGGTAACATTTCTTCATCTCCTTGCAGCCTTAGAAAAACCTACTGAAGGCTGGGCGCAGTGGGTGTAATCCCAGCACTTTAGGAGACTGAGGCAGGTAGATCATCTGAGGTCTGGAGTTCGAGACCACCCTGGCTAACATGGTGAAACCCTGTCTCTATGAAAAATACAAAAATTAGCTGAGCATGATGGGGGGCACCTGTAATCCTAGCTACTCGGGAGGCTGAGGCAGGAGAATCACTTGAACCCAGGAGGCAGAGATTGCGGTGAGCCAAGATGGCATCACTGCACTTCAGTCTGGGTGACAGAGTGAGATCCTGTCCCGCCGGACACACACACACACAAAAAAAAAAAAAAAAAAGAAAGAAAGAAAAGAAAAGAAAAGAAAAATCTACTGAAGAGTTAACCAATTATTCCAATACCATGCAATAATATTTAATTACCCCAGGAGGTATTTGCATGTTTTAGGATGAAACAAAAATGTCTTTAAGCCCCAAGGAATGAGGATGTGATGGGGGATTCTGAGACCACAGGTTATGGCGTTGAGATTTGGTCTGTTATCCAGGCCAAGGATTTCTGCGATTGTGTTTCAATCAACCAACTTCTGAAGGATCGGGTCTCATCGGGAGGGTAATCAGTGCCAGCTTTCACCCCCAGGCATGCTTCACACCCCCCACTAGACACCCAATCCTGGCACCTATTAGCCACATAGACCAAACTGTCTTCTTCCTGGGGACATGGACATTTTTTGATTATGGCTCTTATGAGTGCTTGCTTTTCATGTCATCTAATTCCACAGTGACTTGAGTGGTAGATTCTGGCAGGTTTGTCAGGGTTACCTGAGGCAGGTGGTACGCCTAAAATCACAGAGTGTGGGGAGAATCAGGCCAGCTAGAGAGAACCAGCCCGGGAGTGAGGAGACCTGGGCCCTTGTCCTTGGGGACTGCTCATGGTGTTTGCTGTGTAGGGGTATCTCTACTTGGGCGGTGAAACGTGGCTGAGCTTCTGATTTTGCTCTTAGCTTTAATTTCTTTTTCTTTTTTCTTTTTTTTTTGGCCAATAAATGAAAAGCACATTTTCCTAGCTGTTTTAGAAGTTCTGTTTCCTCATTTCTAAGGTGAGGGCAATTGGACTGGGTGATGTCTAAGGCCCTCTAGTTCTAAGATTATTCTGTCGGACACTTGCTGGGTGACTTGGAGGTTTGGGGGCACTTTTACTCTGTGACCTCAGTTTCCCCTTCTGTAAAATGAGAACTGGGATTCAGTGACCCCTGAGGAACCTGCTGGCTTTGAGTGAGTACCACGAGACTGGATTGATTGTTTTTCTAAGGTTACAGGGAGATGGGAAATGTTAACTTGACCCTTATGACAATACCCAGCCTGGCCTGAAGTTTCCCGGACCCCTCACTTTCTGTAGCTTGGAGCTGAGCTTGGGTGGGGTTTCCATAAACGACAAAGGGCCCAGCCAAGCGACTGCTCAGTGAGACTAGCCAAGTATCTGCTCAATCAAAATCCCATGGGCAAGACTGTCACTTCTGTAAGTGGCCAGATAGGTGTCTGTAGTATAGGCTGGAAGGTGAGACTGCAGGAAGAGAGGTGATAGGTGAGGAGGGTGAGAACAGCACCTTTTAATGATGTGAGGAAGAATGGCCTGTGGCTCCAGAGTCAGACCAATCTTAGTTCAAATCCTGGCTCTATCACTTTCTAGTTGTGTGACTCCGGACAAGCTATTTAACCTTCGAAACCTATTTCCTTCTCTGTAAATTGGGGATAATAGTGCATAATACTTAGGATTGCTATAAGGATTAAGTGAGATATGCATGTTACTACCTGGTGTATGGTCAGTTATTAATTAACGTTATCTCCTTTCATGTTTATTATTCTGAATGGCTGCTGCATCGACTGCGTATTGTGCCACTTTGACATCTCCAGAGCAGAGGCTTTGTTGGGGAGATGGGAAGAGAAAGAGAGCTTTGTTGAACACTGTATGCCAGGCACTGTGCTGGCTGCTTCACATGCGTTAGAAGCACATTGATTCCCACTTCGTAGAGAGAGACTGAGGCTTGTCAAGGTAGAGTAAATTGCCTGAAGTCATAGAGTTTTTAAGTGGCAGTAGTGGGATTTGAATCCAGGTCTATCTGGCTTTGAAGCCGAGACATTTTTTTTTTTTTTTTATTGAGATGGAGTCTCACTTTGTCACCAGGCTGGAGTGCAGTGGCGCCATCTTGGCTCACTGCAACCTCCGCCTCCTGGGTTCAAGTGATTGTCCTGCCTCAGACTCGCGAGTAGCTAGGACTACAGGTGCCCACCACCATGCCCGGCTAATTTTTTTGTATTTTTAGTAGAGACAGGATTGCACCATGTTGGCCAGGCTGGTCTTGACCTCCTGATCTCAGGTGATCCCCCTGCCTTAGCCTCCCAAGGTGCTGGGATTACAGGCGTGAGCCATCGCGCCCAGCCGGCCTAGACTTTTTCTAATACAAGACATTCTCTCCCAAGAAGGGGTTATTAAGAATAGATAGTAAATGAGGAATTCTGGAGCCATCATTTTCATATAGTGGGGAAAAAAATCTCCCCACAGTGAATCAGAATCTGCATTTCTACCCAGTCTCTGCTGTGTTGCTGCGTGACTTTGGGCAAGTCACAGGATATATTACAGCTTCATTTCTAGCAAAATCAACAGTTAGAATATTCTCTAGGATTCTTTTTATCTTATTAGTCTGTGTTCTTTTGGAATGGCATGGCAGCCAGTTCTTTCCACTGATTTAGAATTTAATTCTTGGTGATAGATTTCATAGGCTTTCTGGAATAGGAAGTTTTGAGCAGGTATGTTTTTCTTTTAGATCTGCCAACTTATCTCTCTGTTTGATTGAGAAAAGTTTCCAACCAGAGATCAATGATCAATTTCTATTTTAAATGAAGAATACCACTAGAAATAATGAATCACAATTTACTATCCTGCCCTAGGCTGTGGAGACATTAATCATAGAGCATTATTTGGGAGTCAAGGTGGATGCACAGCTGAAGCTGCTTTATGATGAACTCCTTTGTGATTGAAATCCCAGGAACACTGTCATTTTTATGCAAAAGAGATGTCATCCTCCTGCAGCCAGATAAGCTCAGTTCCTCTTGTTTAGGGCCTTAGGAGACAGGACTAGCAGTTTGCTTCCTCTGAGACAGGTCTTCCTATTTCACTGTTGGAGACTTTTCCAGCAGCTAGAATTTCAGAGGCACGGGCGACCAGCACGCAGCCTGAAGGTCAAATGCAGCCCACCTGCCCTCAGGGGCGCCTCTGCCTGAGAGTTGTGGCAGCGAAGCAAAGCTAACCTAATTAGCTCGTACGGGCTGGTGGGCTTTTACCACCTGTTCGGGGTCCCATGGTGAGAAGGATGCCTGGAGGTGTCAGGCCAACAGGCTCAGATGGGCGAGTCAGTGTCACTCCTGCCAAGTGTAATTCATTACTGTTCAAGTTTAATTCCTCTGACAATACAATGTGGAAACAAGTGCCTTCTAAATCTCCCCTGACACAGAGGAACTAGCTGTGCAGAAAGCCTCCATGCCCACCTGACTCACATTTGAGGCATTCCCAGGATTTGTAAACCAAACTGTTGGCCCCCTCAGTTCACCATGATCACCATCTAAAAATGAATGCATCACCTGGGCGAGGTGAGCAAGTGCCTAGAGTGCAAAATTGAGAGGCACTCACTCTCAGGTTCCCGAAGTGCAGGGCCAGCACCTGACAGTGAATTCCTCCGTACATTTTGTACCCTAGATGCCTCCTGTCTCACTTGCCTCCCCCTAGTCCTGGCCCTGCCATACACATTTCTGATCGTGTGGCCCACAGAATGGCGTTCATGGAAAGAGTGGCTTTGGAGTGGGGAAGCTTTGGGCTTAAATCCTGTCTGAAGACTTTGAACGAGATATTTAATCCCTTGTGAGAGGCTTAACCTGAACCTCAGTTAACTTCTCTGCAAAATGGGAGAAATATACCTGGCCACAGAGGGAACTCAGGAATGATGGTGTCTAAACAGCCTCCAACAGTGAAATGGGAACAGTTGTATCTTAAACTCATGCCAGCCTTGGAGATTTCCTCCTATAAGCCACCGCCATCTAGGTCATGTCCTCTCCCTCACCTCTTCCTTCCATCCTCACTTCCCACCAGCCCCAGGTGGTCAGGGGATGGAAAGGATACTCCTTAGCTGTGTCGCATCCCATCCCCATGCTGTTTTGGGGGCAGGAAAGTCAGGCTGGTCAGGGCCTGCCCTTGTAGCATCTCCTCTTCCCAGCCCCACCTGACAGCTGTGAGGCCAGCCCTGAGATGTCAGATGCCCTTGGATTTCCTAACATCCACGTGTGGAAGGGCTTCACTTCTCCTTAGACTTCAAGGGGAGGGAAGGAGAGAAGCAGGTTTGGTAGAAATAGAGAGGAGCTGGCTGCTGCCCCTCCCTTCCATCCCTAGCACTACAAGTTCTTTGAGACAAGGAGGGAGGAGAGACTGCTGTTCTGTGGGGCAGGGAAAAGGTATCCCCCGTGTCACAGTAGAGAGAAAAGGAGGGCAGCCCATCCCTGGCAGCTCTGAACCTGCAGCCAGGAAGAAGGAGTTTGGCCTTGAGTAATTGGGTTTAGAGACAGAAGTAACTTCCCCATTTCAGTTCATGGCAACTCCACCCTTTCAGTTGCTGAGGCCAAAACACTTGGGAGTCACTCTGACTCTTCTGTTTCTCTCACACGCCCCATTAAGTCTGGTGGCTCCTCTCGAAAATGTATCTGGCAACTGTTTCTCACCAGCTCCATTGACAACACCCTGGCTGGAGCTATCCCCATTCTTTGTCCCTTGCCTGCTGGCTGCTGCGGCTTCCTTACTGTTATCCCTGCCGTATTCTTGCTACATAGCAACTGGGAGATTCTGTGGAAAGGTTAGATCCTGTTACCCCTGTGCCTGAGTCCCTGCCATAGCCCTGTTGCCCACAGAGTAAGAGCTCTGCCTGGCCCCACCTAGTCTGCCCCTCCCTACTCCCACTTTGCCCATCTCTCCCACCTGTGCCCCATCTCTTGCCACACTGGCCTCTGCTGTTCCTAGGAGTCAGGCACACTCCCTTCTTAAGGCCATGATTCCAACTGTTCCCTTCATCTAAAATGTTCTCCCAGACATCCAGTTGGCTCACCCTGACTTTCTTCCTTGACCAACTTCTCCCTGAAGCCTTCCCAACCATCCTCCCCACACCCCACCCCACTTACCCAGCTCTAATTTTTCATATTTTCAATCCACATATCACCTTCTAATATACCACAAATAATACTTACCACGATTATTGTTGATTGATGATCTCCCCAGCTAGAACGGAAGCTATTCAGGGCAGAAATCTTTGCTTTGTTTACTGATAGGTCCTGAACATTTAACTGTCCCTGGCACATATGAGTTGCCCTAAATATATATATAAGCATGTATGTTCATTTGAACAAGTGGAGTGACCCCAAGAGTTATAGAGTTAGATCTTTTTTTTTTTTTTTTTTTGAGGCAGAGTCTCACTCTGTCACTCAGGCTGGAGTATAGTGGTGTGATACTGGCTCACTGTAGTCTCTGCCTCCCGAGTTCAAGTGATTTTCCTGCTTCAGCCTCCTGAGTAGCTGGGACTACAGGCGCGTACCACCAGGCCCAGCTAATGTTTGTATTTTTGTATTTTTATAGAGATGGGGTTTCACTCTGTTGGCCAGGCTGGTCTCTATCTCCTGACCTCAAGTGAGCCGCCTGCCTTGGCCTCCCAAACTACTGGATTACCACGCCTGGCCTCCAAGAGTTATCTCTTCATCTCAGCTCTAAAATTCCCCAACTCATCTCCCCCTGTGAGTCCTTGAATCTGTCCTGGAGCATTGTCAAGCATGTTAGAGTTTGAGGGACCTGGAGTTCCCCTTTAGGCAGACTGTGAAAATGGTACTTCTGTTTCCAGTGCCCTGGGCCGGTTCCACTTTGTGGTGTATTGTAACGTACTCTTCCAACGGCCCCGTGAAGAATCTACTGTTGTGTCACTTTGCAGGTGTGGGCACTGAGGGTCAGAGACTCAGAGAGGTTAAGTTTGCTCCTCAAGGTGATCCAGTTCGTAAGTGCTGAGAGTTCAGGATTTGGGAACCCAAAGGCTCGTGGGACTGGCATGAGGCTGAGCTTTCCACACACTGTTCCTTCCAACTTCTGCAAAGATCCTGGTCGCCAAGGCCCTACCTTGAGGGTTTGCATGGATCCAAGGGTATGGAAGGAAAGGTTCCCGAGCCCACCTACCACGTTCAAACTAGACCCCCAAGTTTCTGCTAATTGTTTACCTCCCAATATGTTTCTCTTTTCCTTTCCTTTCTTTTCTTTTCTTTCATCTTTTTGACCAATGGAGTTGTTGCTCTTTGTCACCCCGGTCAACTGGAGATGGCAAGGATCGCTGGGTCTCTGCTCACTGCAAACTCCGCCTCTAAGGTTCAAGCAATTCTCCTGCCTCAGCCTCCTTGGAGTAGCTGGGATTACAGTTGCGCCCGCCACACGCCATGGCTAAGTTTTTTGTATTTTTAGTAGAGATGGGGGTATTGCCACGGTTGGGCGCAGGCTGGTCTCCAAACTTTCTGACCTCACAGGGTGATCCACCCGGCCCTC